GAAGAAGAAGAGAAGAAGAAGAAGAAGAAGAAAGAAGAAGAAGAAGAAGAAGAAGAAGAAGAAGAAGAAGAAGAAGAAGAAGAAGAAGAAGAAAGAAGAAGAAGAAAGAAGAAGAAGAAGAAGAAGAAGAAGAAGAAGAAGAAGAAGAAGAAGAAGAAGAAGAAGAAGAAGAAGAAGAAGAAGAAGAAGAAGAAGAAGAAGAAGAAGAAGAAGAAGAAGAAGAAGAAGAAGAAGAAGAAGAAGAAGAAGAAGAAGAAGAAGAAGAAGAAGAAGAAGAAGAAGAAGAAGAAAGAAGAAGAAGAAGAAGAAGAAGAAGAAGAAGAAGAAGAAGAAGAAGAGAAGAAGAAGAAGAAGAAGAAGAAGAAGAAAGAAGAAGAAGAAGAAGAAGAAGAAGAAGAAGAAGAAGAAGAAGAAGAAGAAGAAGAAGAAGAAGAAGAAGAAGAAGAAGAAGAAGAAGAAGAAGAAGAAGAAGAAGAAAGAAGAAGAAGAAGAAGAAGAAGAAGAAGAAGAAGAAGAAGAAGAAGAAGAAGAAGAAGAAGAAGAAGAAGAAGAGAAGAAGAAGAAGAAGAAGAAGAAGAAGAAGAAGAAGAAGAGAAGAAGAAGAAGAAGAAGAAGAAGAAGAAGAAGAAGAAGAAGAAGAAGAAGAAGAAGAAGAAGAAGAAGAAGAAGAAGAAGAAGAAGAAGAAGAAGAAGAAGAAGAAGAAGAAGAAGAAGAAGAAGAAGAAGAAGAAGAAGAAGAAGAAGAAGAAGAAGAAGAAGAAGAAGAAGAAGAAGAAGAAGAAGAAGAAGAAGAAGAAGAAGAAGAAGAAGAAGAAGAAGAAGAAGAAGAAGAAGAAGAAGAAGAAGAAGAAGAAGAAGAAGAAGAAGAAGAAGAAGAAGAAGAAGAAGAAGAAGAAGAAGAAGAAGAAGAAGAAGAAGAAGAAGAAGAAGAAGAAGAAGAAGAAGAAGAAGAAGAAGAAGAAGAAGAAGAAGAAGAAGAAGAAGAAGAAGAAGAAGAAGAAGAAGAAGAAGAAGAAGAAGAAGAAGAAGAAGAAGAAGAAGAAGAAGAAGAAGAAGAAGAAGAAGAAGAAGAAGAAGAAGAAGAAGAAGAAGAAGAAGAAGAAAGAAGAAGAAGAAGAAGAAGAAGAAGAAGAAGAAGAAGAAGAAGAAGAAGAAGAAGAAGAAGAAAGAAGAAGAAGAAGAAGAAGAAGAAGAAGAAAAGAAGGAAGAAGAAGAAGAAGAAGAAGAAGAAGAAGAAGAAGAAGAAGAAGAAGAAGAAGAAGAAGAAGAAGAAGAGAAGAAGAAGAAGAAGAAGAAGAAGAAGAAGAAGAAGAAGAAGAAGAAGAAGAAGAAGAAGAAGAAGAAGAAGAAGAAGAAGAAGAAGAAGAAGAAGAAGAAGAAGAAGAAGAAGAAGAAGAAGAAGAAGAAGAAGAAGAAGAAGAAGAAGAAGAAGAAGAAGAAGAAGAAGAAGAAGAAGAAGAAGAAGAAGAAGAAGAAGAAGAAGAAGAAGAAGAAGAAGAAGAAGAAGAAGAAGAAGAAGAAAGAAGAAGAAGAAGAAGAAGAAAGAAGAAGAAGAAGAAGAAGAAGAAGAAGAAGAAGAAGAAGAAGAAGAAGAAGAAGAAGAAAGAAGAAGAAGAAGAAGAAGAAGAAGAAGAAGAAGAAGAAGAAGAAGAAGAAGAAGAAGAAGAAGAGAAGAAGAAGAAGAAGAAGAAAAGAAGAAAGAAGAAGAAGAAGAAGAAGAAGAAGAAGAAGAAGAAGAAAGAAGAAAGAAGAAGAAGAAGAAGAAGAAGAAGAAGAAGAAGAAGAAGAAGAAGAAGAAGAAGAAGAAGAAGAAGAAGAAGAAGAAGAAGAAGAAGAAGAAGAAGAAGAAGAAGAAGAAGAAGAAGAAGAAGAAGAAGAAGAAGAAGAAGAAGAAGAAGAAGAAGAAGAAGAAGAAGAAGAAGAAGAAAGAAGAAGAAGAAGAAGAAGAAGAAGAAGAAGAAGAAGAAGAAGAAGAAGAAGAAGAAGAAGAAGAAGAAGAAGAAGAAGAAGAAGAAGAAGAAGAAGAAGAAGAAGAAGAAGAAGAAGAAGAAGAAGAAGAAGAAGAAGAAGAAGAAGAAGAAGAAGAAGAAGAAGAAGAAGAAGAAGAAGAAGAAGAGAAGAAGAAGAAGAAGAAGAAGAAGAAGAAGAAGAAGAAGAAGAAGAAGAAGAAGAAGAAGAAGAAGAAGAAGAAGAAGAAGAAGAAGAAGAAGAAGAAGAAGAAGAAGAAGAAGAAGAAGAAGAAGAAGAAGAAGAAGAAGAAGAAGAAGAAGAAGAAGAAGAAGAAGAAGAAGAAGAAGAAGAAGAAGAAGAAGAAGAAGAAGAAGAAGAAGAAGAAGAAGAAGAAAGAAGAAGAAGAAGAAGAAGAAGAAGAAGAAGAAGAAGAAGAAGCAGAAGAAGAAGAAGAAGAAAGAAGAAGAAGAAGAAGAAGAAGAAGAAGAAGAAGAAGAAGAAGAAGAAGAAGAAGAAGAAGAAGAAGAAGAAGAAGAAGAAGAAGAAGAAGAAGAAGAAGAAGAAGAAGAAGAAGAAGAAGAAGAAGAAGAAGAAGAAGAAGAAGAAGAAGAAGAAGAAGAAGAAGAAGAAGAAGAAGAAGAAGAAGAAGAAGAAGAAGAAGAAGAAGAAGAAGAAGAAGAAGAAGAAGAAGAAGAAGAAGAAGAAGAAGAAGAAGAAGAAGAAGAAGAAGAAGAAGAAGAAGAAGAAGAAGAAGAAGAAGAAGAAGAAAGAAGAAGGGGCGAGAGATAATCGGAAGAGGTAGAAGGGCGGGGCGAGAGATAATCGAAAGGAGTAGAAGGGAGGGAGGAGGAAGAAGAGGAGGGGGTTGGAGGGATGTGCAAAAGAGGCAGAATGTAAAGAAAGATGAGGAGAAGGGGGAAGGGGAGAAAAAAAAAGAGCAAGCGAGAGTGAGCAAAAGAGATGAGAATAACAAATCATGAGAGAGAAAAAATAGGAGATGGCATACAAGAACAAAGGGAAAGGACAACTAAAAGGGGTAGAGGGGGCCGCGTGCAACAACGGGGGGAGAGGGGCTGAAGAAGGGAAGGCATACCTCGGTAGCCCTTTTGCGGACTTATTTCGCTTGAGTCGCGATGGCCGCTTCCGCTTGCCTCATTCACCCTTGAGACTTCAAGAACAACATTGTCATCAACAATGGAGGGCGCCGGCAACAGTGTGCCGATGATCTGAGACGCATGAAGTTGCGTCTACGTCTGACTCGCGTCCACCAGTGCCTCACTCATGCGAGTCTCCTCTGCCCTCCTTTTCCTACCTCTACCACACGCGCCACTTCTGCTTGCACTACCATCCCCTCTCTCCACATCTCCTTACACCCTCACGTTTTGTCTTGTTATGTACCGTGTTGAACCTCTCTTTAGGACACGATACATTTTGCCGTTCTCCACTCCCAATCCAGATAGAGCAGCTCTCGTATCTCCATTCCACCAACGCACAGCTCTCTCTATATCCACTCAACTCAACGAGCCCCTCAGGCGCAATCACCATTTCCCTTTCTCCAAGCTGCGAGCAGCATTGTACGCGAGTTGCATTCTCGAATAACCTCCTCGCATTTCAGACACTGTACGCGTTGAGTGTTCTCAGCACTACACGTCACCATGCGCAGTATACGTTCTTCCTATGGCATTCTCGGGAGATAGCGATCCGAGCTCATGGATTGGAGAATCTCGGCTTTATTCCTTTTACCCCCCTCATCCATGTCGGCATCGACGAAGCGTAGTCAGCATTTAGTCACGCACAGTGCCGTGATCGTGTCACTGTAGCAGTGCACCATCTTGGTGCCTTGCGAAGGAAGCTTTGCGGCGGCTTGCAGCCTCGCCGCGCTGGCTTCAAGTGCCGTCCATTCCCATCCACGCTTCCCTCGGCCATCCCTCACGCTTCATACTATACACGTATTTCTCGACAAGCTTACCATCCACAAAGTCGAAGCGCGTGACGATTTGCCCGACCGAGAGGGTATACGAATTCACCCCCCTCTGATCAGTTGCTGCTATGAATACGCTGCAGGGGATGCGAGTTTCATATCGGCACCAAATTCTTTCACGAATTTGCCCTCCTACCAGCCCCTTTTCGGCGGGATTTTAGCAACAACTAGTGGCTCCTAGCAGCACTAGTACTTCTTTCGCATATTTCGTCTACTTTGACTCAACGGTCCGATTTGAATCATGGCGAGCACGCGTCGGACTCCGTCACCCAGCGCGACGCGGCGGGCTTGTGCAAAAGCGCCCGTCGGTAGCCGCTGCGGGAATGCGCATTGCATCGGCGCGCCACTGCATGCGAGAAGGTCCTTCGAGAGTCAGCCCAACGGCGGGATTAACGGCGACAATGGCGGCGCTTATGGAGCCACGACGAATGTCGTTATTATGTTTAGCTCCAGTCCTGCGACCACCCTAGACTTTCCCGCCTCCCCTTCCGCCTCCCCTTCCGCCTTCCCTTCCGCCTCCACGTGGCCGCACATGTTCCACATTTCCTCGGTTGACTCGCAATTCGACACAAACGGTGGAGAATCGATACCCACATTTCACTGTGGGTCTTCCGCTGAGGGAGGAGCTGCTTGTGGCATGGCAGCAGCAGGCGTGGCGTTAGGGGATTGGTTGAAAAAGGCAGCGGCATCAGCGGCGGTTGAAACGGCACCAAAGGTGGTGGGCCGGAAGCAGCGGCAGTCGCTGCTGCAGCAATGGTTCCACGATGCTCCTCATGGGCTCATTCCGCCCGCCTTCCCTGAAATCAATCGAACCAGCTAGGTCAACCGAGTCAACCAAGTCAACGCCGGATTCAACGCAGTCCATGCTGTCAACACGTTCGATGCATCGAGCAGAGTTGACACGGTCAACACAATACCTGCAGTCAACGCAGTCAGTGTGGTAACTGGCAGTGACTGCTCTCAATCTGAACTTGCTGATGCCAGTCTCAGACTCCGAGCCTCTGAGTCAGCTCTGGATCTGGATTCCGAGCCTGCAGCCTCGGTTGAGCCTCGGAAAGCAAACTCCTGCATGCACACAATCCCAGCACCAGAAGAGAGGGAGGTGGAAGTGGGGGAGGTGCAAGTGGGAGAGGCGCAAGTGGGAGAGGCGCAAGTGGGGGAGGTGGAGATGGGGGGGGTGTTGGGGCGGCCAGTGGAGGACATTCGGCGGAGGTGGCTTCTGTTGAAGAAGGAGATAGGCAGGTGGCAGTACGGTGTGATACGGAGATGCGTGCACCGCAGCACCGGGGAACACGCTGCCTGCAAGAGCATCCGGAAATCCGCGTTCCAGGTGTGTTCCTCCTTCTAAACCCCATACCTTTCTGTATTATTAACACTTTGCTTGTGTTCTCCCTGCCTGTTCTCCACGTCACCGGTCCTTTTTGCCTCTTGTCCTCGGCTTCAGCTTCTGAGTTCCGACCTGCCTCGTGCCTCGTGTATACTATGCAGAGTGCTGCTGACGTGGAGGCAGTGCTGAACGAGGTGGCATTCATGAAGGAACTCAAAGGCCATGCCAACATCATTCGGATCAAGCACGCTGTGGGGACGCACAGGTTAAGTTACCCTTGTCCGTCACCTTTTGCCCCTCTCTAAAAGTATGGCGAATAACTTAAGAAAACCTAACCCCAGAACCTGCAGCTTAACGTTCATGAATCGTCCATGTTGCTATGCTAGATTCTTCCTCTAATCAAACCCTCTTCGTTGGCATGTTGCTCCCAGTAAAGGTTACTGACTGTCTCGTACAACTCGACAAGGTTGCTCATTTTTCTTTCCCCTTGCCTCTTCCCCACCCCACCCCCCCTTCCTCTTCTCTTCAGCACGTGCACGTGGTGATGGAGCTCTGTGAGTGGGGGGACCTGTTTGACTGCACTGACTCGCACTGAAGGCTCACGGAACCTTCCGCAGAGCGCATCCTCCGATCGCTCATGCTGGCCTTGCAGCACTGCCACTCGCATGGCATCGTGCACCGCAACGTCAAACCCGAAAACATCCTTCTATCGCATCGTGCTAATAAAGGGGATGCCGCGAAACCTCATGTCAGGGATACCGGGAAACCTCATGGATGTGAAGTCAAGCTGATTGGTTTTGGTTTGGCCGCTAGGCACACTCCGGGTGTTCCCCTATCAGAGGTGGTGGGCACATCAAATTACATGGCCCCAGAGGTTTTTTCTGAGTCGTACGGCGCTGAGTGCGATGTGTGGAGCGCTGGTGTGCTCTTTATGATGCTCTGCGGCTCGTTCCCCTTCTACGACAACAGCACCACGAGCAACACCTGCAGTGGTAGCAGTAGAAGATATGGAGGCAACAGCAGCAGCAGTTGTAGTAGCACCAGTAGCAACAGCAGTGATGGCGGGGGTGGTGTGTGGCAGAGGGTACTGGAGGCCAAGCAGAGTGGGTTCAGCCGCAGCAAGAGGTGGCAGGAGCTGTCGTCACCGGCCAAGCATCTCATCATTCGCATGCTCACTGCTGATCCCAGCAGCCGAATCAGCGTGCACGAGCTTCTTGGTGAGTTGTATCTTCAGTTTCCTGAGTTCAGTGAGGTTTTGGGAGGAGATCCTTTCTTGTGGGCCTTGGTTGATTGTGCAGAGCACAAATGGGTCAATTCCTCCACCAATCATTGAGTAATTTACTGGCCAACGATTCTTATCCATATTTGAAAGCGTTGAATAAAATTGCCTGGAAATTCTCGCCACCCTATCTGTATGATATACGGTATATTCTTTTATTTATTTATAGCTCTGTACATTTAGCATTGCAGAGGTACTATATTGTAAGGCATATCCATTTCGTGTAGTTGTGTCACAGCTAATCTGCATTATTGAACGTCATCTTCGCAACTCTTCGAGTGAAATGAACCTTCCTTCTGCGTTCCATCCTCGGGTCGCGCTGACGCACGGGTGACCAACTATCGAAGGTGCAATGAAATACCTCACTTCGCCTGCTTCCCCCCTCCTCATGAAGGCGGTGGGAAACGGCGGGATTCGAGGACAGTCTAGGACTGTGGGACAACCATCAGGCTGGATGGGATGGAGGGTACAAGAAGTGGCACAAAATTTTAATATCGGAAAACAAAAGGCCTGCTCCTCCGACTTCTGCTCTTCGTCCCACTGTCAAACAACCTGTTCCTCCGGCACAACTACTAGCGGTGACTCTCTCGGTTCGGAAGCGAAACACTTCAACCAGATCGAGTTTGAGCTCCTCAGTAGAAGCGCATTACCCTCGTAGAAACCGAGCCGCGACGCATTCACATCAGATGGCCAGCTTGAAGCTCTACGGAATGGGCTACTCGCCCTTCGTCCGCCGCGTCTTGCTCACGCTGCACGAACTCGGCATTGAGGTGCGACCCGCGAGGCCCCTTATATCTGGTCCAAACCCCGTGTAAGCCTGCGAATCTGGCATATTCCACACCTTCCCAGCGCGGCTTGAAGATAGGTCGCATGATGACGTGTTACGACACGACATTCCCCTCGGTGCAATCTGACAGCAATATCAAATTTCCCCTATATTCCCTCTATTCTGAAAGCAGGACTGACGCAGCTGAAAGCAAGCAAGTATTCACCCTACAAACATTCAACCCAACGCCGCCCCCCAGCCGCCCACCTCTTCCCTCCACCCCCCTCTCCCTTCCCGTACACACCCCTCTTGAGCAGGACTACGAGTAGGAGCAAGTGAACAGCTCCAACGGCGAGGCGCCTTAGAACCACACCTGGTTTTTTCCTCTGAAAGTCCCCAATTCGTTTCGCACATTACACCCCGATTATCCCTTCACTACCCTTCAACTCCTGCTTTTTCCGTCCCCTCGCCTCCTTTTTACAAAGCAGGGCTACGAGTGGGAGTAGGTTGACGCCCCCAAGGGCGAATCGTTTCAGTAACATGTGTCTGGATTCTCCTTCACAAGTTCTTCCGTCCCTTCTCCCCAACCCCCCAATCCCCCGCCAACCCCCCCACCCCCGCGCGCGCGCAGGACTACGAGTGGGAGCAGGTGAATGCCCCCAATGGCGAGGCGCGCACGCCCGCGTACCTCGCGAAACAGCCCTTTGGGAAGGTGCCTCTGCTCGAAGACGACGGCGAGTGCATCTGGGGTAGGTGGATTCGGGGACTGGGTCGAGTGAACGGGCATCGATTACATGCAGTTCTTTGTGAAGGCTCTGCTTAAAGCCCATGGCAAATGCATCTGAGGTAGGCGGATTTAGGGAAGGTGGATTTATGGAAGGTGCACCTAGGGACTGCGTTGGTTGACGGGTGATACGGTTGCACGCAACCTTTTCCGGAGGCGCCTCTCGCAAAGCCCGCAGTGAGTGCATCTGGGGTGTTCTTACCCGAGGTAGGTGCATCCGGCGATGCAGAGTACTGGATGGTTCAAATGAAGGTACGTGATATGAACTAGCTCCTCGGTGGGAATGAAATTAACGTGGAAGCATCTCGTCACACCGTCGCGCCATTGCATCATGTCGAACCTCGTCGATTCCTCGCGGCCAGGAGGTCCTTGGCAACCCATTTCGACTCCAATAAGGGGTTGCACCGTAACCACTAGTTGTTGGGAAATGAGACGCCGTATCATCGAGATGTCCATTAGGTTTGGTACCCTTCAGCATTGTCCATTATCCCTGAAGAGCTCTGTTTAGTAACACTTACACGTGCTACCCAGTCGACACTGCTGTGGATGAGCGGCGTTTGTTCTCAGATCGACGCAGCTCAGAGACATGTCTTGACGTGGCCGTTGTTCTCCCAACCAGAGTCTCGAGCCATCATGCGCTATCTCGCCGACAAGTACGGCGCGGAACGCGGAGTCAACCTGCTGGGCAAGGACGCGTTGGAGCGGGGCCGCGTGAACCAGTGGATCGAGACGGAGGTCAACGCGTACACGCCCGAGGCCATCACGATCGCGTTCGAGCGAGTCTTTAAGAGGTTTCGTCAGCTCGGCGAGCCTGATGATGAAAAGGTCGCCGCGGCGACGAAAAAGGTAAGGTGTCGTTTTCTGTTGCGACATGAGACGTCCATGGCTTCAAAATCTAGCTTCTCGTTCAAGGCAACGCGATCTCTGCTTTCAACTAACGGCTTGCCTTACGACATCTCTTCTCGAAGGAAAAGGCAAGATTCCGACTTGTTAGGCCATTTGCAAAGGCTGGCGAAACTGGCTGGCTATGACTGAGTACCACTTATTTATTTCATGGCGTCTTTGCGACGTTCCTACATTTATTACTTCTCCTGTCTCCTGTTCCGTCCCCTGGGATGTGCAGCTGGAAAAGATCCTCGATGTTTACGAGAAGCATCTGGAAGGGCGGGAGTATCTCGTGGGCGACTCGCTCACTCTCGCGGATCTGACACATCTGCCAGTCACTGAGCATCTCAAGGCGGCGGGGGTCGGGGATCTGTTTGATTCCCGCCCAAATTTGAAGGCATGGCTCAGCCACTTGTACTCCCGCTCTGCTTGGAAGAAGGTGAACGAGCTCGCGCCACTTCCCACAATTTGAGAGTGTACTCATTATAAATTGACTAAGGCCGGTTACGACCATGGTGTTTTTAGAATCATATATTGCAGTTTCACCTCAATGCATCAGTAACAAAGCTGTGAAATTTCAAAATGCACATTTAGCAATAGTCGTCATTCCCCAAGGAGAGCCATAAATAAACTATTTATGCCCATCAGTAATTACGCTAATCACACTTCTTTCAATAGTCCAGGCTACATGCCGTAACCACATCAATTCTGTCCAGCTAACGCATTTATTGGACGTAAGCAGAAGGACTCATCATATTGAACCCCTGCTTGGAGGTACATTCTAGTTTCGCATGCTACAGTCCTTTGCTTGCCTCCCTGTGATCCGCCCCCACGGCGTCTGCCACTGACGCAAATCCATCACGAGCAAGGCACTCAGCCAATTCTTTCTGCCAATTGGGAGCATCCAAGTTAGGGATGGAAGGATAGGGTGGGGGGTTGGGTGAGGGGGGAACGATGACAAATGGAGGGAAAAGAATGGAGAAGCAGAGGTGTGAGCAGCTTGTGAAAAAAAAAAAACGTAGTGAGCAGCTTCTTACAGTCTTAGAGCATGTTCCTACGGCCTCATATCAGGCAACCTTGTATCAGATTCTCGTCGAACCGCACTAAAACGCATCCAACCGCAGTCGAACACACTGAAACGTATTTCGCCACATGAAGTTGATATGAGGTGTGTCTGATACGAGGAGTAGGAACACGCTCTTAGGAAGTGATGGGTTAAATGCGCAGTGCCCACGCCACTCTAGCTTCCATACTCCGAAATTTGAGCCCAAATCTAGGAAAAGGGCAAACCTGTGTAAGCCCTAGTGCAGGTTGACCTGCTTTGACTGGCCCTCACTTGGTTTGGCTCACCTTGATTTTTGGCACCACTTCAGCTCCCTCGGATTTCATGCTTGAATTGACTCAGCTTGAATTGATTTCCCTCACCTTGATTTTTGGCACCACTCCAGCTCCCTCGAAGACCATTGAGGTATACAGCTGGACCAAGGAGGCCCCCGCCCGGATCTTCTTATAAGCATCCTCGCCACTGTGCCAGGGACGCAGGGGAATAATGGGAACAATGAAAGAGACATCCATGAGAATTGCTTTATAGGAAAGAAGCCAGACATAAATTGCTCATGAGGTGGCTTGGCTGGGATGGGATAGTGGAGAAAGGGGGAAATAAATAGCACAGGTTGATTCAGGGGGTAAAGAAAGTCATAAGACGTTCCAAAAGGCTGGGTTGGGATAGTGGAGACCGGAAGAATGAATAGCACAAGTTTATTCAGGGGATAGAGAGAGGCGAAGTTCTTATGGTGTTGGGGAAGGGGTGTAACTTGGATGAGAGTGAGAGAGGAGGGGGGGTGGTAAGGTATGGAGACGTATGGAAGAGAGGTGGAGTGAGGGAGGAAGATGTTGGGGGAGGAAGAGAGAGAAAACGGAGTATGTGGGAGAGAGAGGGAGAGTGTACGAGAGTGGGAGGGGAGAATGGAAAGAGAAATGAGATTAAGATGGTGGAAAAGAAAGTAGATACCTGTAGATGCCACCACAGCCGATGATGGGAATTTGTCCCTGAGGGAGGAGAGGGAGGAGAGGGAGGAGAAGGAGGAGAGGAAGGAGGAGGGGAGGGAGAAGAGGACAAGAGAGAGGTGGGGTAGAGTAAGCTATTGTAAGTGATCATAGAGGGACCTGTAGATGCCACCACAGCCGATGATGGGGATTTGTCCCTGAGGGAGGAGAGGGTGAGAGAGGAGGGTAGGGTTAGAGAGATAGACTGTGAGAGATAAAGGAAGGACAGTTGATAATGGGGAATTGTTCAGACATGATGAGAGATGGAAGGACTAGAGGTGTTAGTAACGGACAGGTGGGCTGCAGAGGCATAATGAGAGAAGTAAGGACTAGAGGTTGAGGAAGAGAGGTACAGAAGCAATCTTTAGAAAATTGAATGAAATGCAGCACAAGGAGATGCATGCAGTGAGTATAACATTTGTAGTTAACATTCTATATAAGTGTATATTATATGATTTCGCTTATACACATAGTTTGATTAGTGTAGGGAATAAGGCTATTCACCTTTATTAGACTTTGCACACCTTAGTTAGCGAGTACATCTGGCGCAGCACAGCAGTGGAGAGCTCTCACTTAAAACGACTCAGAAGTTATCCCAGCAAGTGCTTATTCTAACGAGTAACGCACCTTAGTGAGCGAGTACATCTGGCGCAGCACAGCAGTGGAGAGCTCAAAGAGGGGCTTGCCGCTGAGCCCCCCCACCTCGTCCGCATTCACCAGGCCCAGAATGCTGTCAGGCCGCGAGATGGTCGTGTTGCTCACCACCTGGTGTGGGTGGGTGGAATGGGGTGGAATGGGGTGGAGTGGGGTGCATGAGGATGTAGGTACTGCCACCCCTCCAAAGAGAGGGGCTTGCCACTGAGGCCCCCCACCTCGTCCGCGTTCACCAGGCCCAGGATGCTGTCAGGGCGCAAGATGGTGGTGTTGCTCACCACATGGTGGGTGTGGGGAGGGGTGGAGAGCGGTGGGGAGCAGTGAGGAGGGCTGAGGATGAAGGTATGGGAGAGCCCTCCCACCTCGTCTGCATTCACCAAGCCCAGAATAATGTCAGGACGCAAGATGGTGGTGTTGCTCACCACCTGGTGTGGGTGTAGAGGGGTGGGGAGGGGTAGAAAGGGGGTAGGGGTGGCAGTGCAGATGTTGGAGATGTCCCCCCCACCTCACCTTGTCCACGTTCACCAGGCCCAGGATGCTGTCAGGGCGCGAGATGGTGGTGTTGCTCACCACCTGGTGTGTGCTGGGAGGGGTGGAGAGGGGTGAGGAGGGGTGGGGAGGGGTGAAGGTGCTTATGAAAGATACCCTGCAACTCGTCCGCGTTCACCAGACCCAGAATCATGTCAGGGCGCGAGATGGTCGTGTTGCTGATCACCTGATGGGTGTGGGATGGGGAGGGGTGGAGTGCGGTGGGAGATGACCCCCCACCTCGTCCGCGAGGATGCGAGATGCTCGTGCGGTGGGATGCTGTCTGGACGCGAGATGCTCGTGTTGCTCATTACCTGGGGTTGGTGGGGAGGGGTGGGGAGGGGTGGGTTGGGTGGGAGGGCCACTGGGCCTGCCACTGGGCCTGCCACTGGGCCTGTTATGCATTCACCTCTCTTGAGTTGACTCAAAAGTCATTCGTGAAGGTAAACCCCAAAACCGATTTCGCTTTTGGCAGAAGCACCACTTGCCGTTCATTCCATCCTCGGTAAAATGGACTCACTAGCACATTAGTCCAACAATCTTGCAAAAGAGGGTGACGGCAGGAATATCCGACTCTCACAGATCAGATCAGATTAGGCATGCTTTCCTGTGATCAGATCAGGGGCTAATGTCAGCAAAGACTCTCACAGTACACTTCATCCTCGGTATAAGCTCACTTGCAAACATACCAGTCCGTCAATCTTGAGAGAAAGGGCGACAGCAGCAATATCGGACATGTCTTCGGTGGTGAGGTCAGGGGCTATCTTGAGCAGAAGAGGGGGAGGACCCTCCTTGTCCCACTCCATCTCGTTTCGTGCTGCTTGCACCTGCCACGCACAAAGAGTGAGCCATTCTTTCAGTCAACTCACAAAGCTTCCTTGCCCCACTCCATCTCATTCTGCGCTGCTTGCACCTGCCAGGTACCAGAGGGTGAGGGCAGGAAGGCGCATGCAATTAGAAGCTCCTCAGGCATTAGAGTCGAGTCACAAGTGGAAGATCTCTCACACATTTCCAGCAAGCAGCAGCGTGGGCGAAAGCATTTCCTACTTGCTCGCTGCTAAGCTTTCTCGTCCGCTGCTGCTTGCTGCTAAGCTTTCCGCTCACCCGCTGCAGCAGCTCCTGCAGTTGCGACCGTCCCTGCAGCTTACGAAAGATACATTCAGCCCGGACGTGTTGGGGGAAGACACATTAACCACTAGCACGTCTGCAAATTGCCCCAGGGCATGCACGCCCTGCACATAGTCCCCCGCCGCATCCTCACTCGTCTTGTTCTTCCCCAGATTCACCGCGAACACTCCCTCCCACACCCCCCCACTGGCCCCACCCACTCCCATCCCCTTCCCCCCTCCCCCCCCCAACTCCCATCCCCTTCCCCCCTCCCCCCTCCCCCCTCCCCCCACCCACTACTGACTCACCCGCTGCAGCAGTTCTTGCAGCTGGGTCCTTCCCTGCAGCTTCCTCAGCCCGGGCGTGTTGGGGGAAGACACATTAACCACCAGCACGTCTGCAAACTGACCCAGAGCATGCACGCCCTGCACATAGTCCCCTGCCGCATCCTCACTCGTCTTGTTCTTCCCCAGGTTCACCGCCAGCACTCCGTCCCGCACTCTCTCTGCCACCACGTTCTCTTTTTTTGGTGCCTGCCCGTCCGCTGCTGCCCGTTTCTGATCCTGCGCTGCCTGCTGCTGCCGCCGAGCCTGCCACGCGCCGAGCCTATCCGCCACGTCAGCGATTCCTGCGCTGTTGAAGCCATACCGGTTTATCACAGCTCTGGAGGGAAGGGGGGGATGGGGGAATGTGAGCCAACGGGTTTGGATCGGAGCGAGGGTTTAGGGATGGGGGAGAGCGAGCAAGAGGAAGGTGACAGGATGATGCTGGAAGTGAGGAACGATAGGAACAAGGATCAACAGACCACGTCAGCAATGCCCCATTGTTGCAGCGGGGTCCGGATGGGGGAGGTGGAACATGGGAGAACACGACGGGAGAGCGAGTCAAGGGAGTAGACCAGCCTCTCCCAGTCCGGCCCTTCTCCCCAGCAGTTTCAGGCTTCACGGTTTTGGGTTTCGGGCTTCAAGCAATTCACAAACTTTTGCTAGGTGATTGGAGGAAACAGGACCTGTGAGCCGGAAGCAACGGGGTTTGGGGTTCCCTGGCTGCGGGAGGGGAGTCACACTCCCGATCTCAGTAAATCCCAGCCCGAGGGCGAACATGGAGTCAACACAGCGCGCGTCCTTGTCAAAGCCCTCTAGTGTTAGGGGTTTGGTCAGGCTTTCGGGTTTAGGACTCACTTCTGCTCTGTGAGGCGGAAGCATCTTGGCTTGGGGTTTCCAGGCTGCGGCAGTGGAGTCACGCTGCCGATCTCCGTGAATCCCAGCCCGAGGGCGAACATGGAATCCACACAGCGCGCATCCTTGTCAAACCCCGCCGCCATGCCCACGGGGTTGCTGAAGCGCCGCCCCCACACCGTGGTGGCGAGGGAGGGCGGGTCGGGGCGGAAGTCGCGTGGAGTGAGGCCCCACTCGCCCGACAGCACGGCCAGCTGGTGGGACGTCTCCGGGTCGAGCAGGCGGATGAACGGCGTCATGTAGTCCGTTGCCGCGAAGGAGAGCGCGCTGGGGTGTGGGGGAGGGCATGGGGGGGGTATGGAGGGAAGGGATATGGGGGGCATGGGGAAGGAGGGTGAAAAAAGATCCTCAACGAGAGGTCGAGCAGGCGGATGAATGGCGTCATGTAGTCCGTTGCCGCGAAGGAGAGCGTGTTGTGGGCATTAAGGGGGAAACACGGGGAGCCACAGGGGGAGAAGAGAGAACGCAAGAGATGCGGGGAAGCACGAGGTTCAACCCTGTGAAGAAAAAGGGTAACAGCATTGTTTAAGCTCCTAACGTTTTGCAGCCGTGGCGATACATTACTCGCTGAAAGCCATCACAGTAGCGGTGCAACCTGTTTACGACGTTGGTCGAGTCGCACCTGAAGGTCTTGGGATCCATGATGGATACCGCAACACCCGCGGCGGCACCCGATCCGAGCGCGCACGCGACGAGAATGCGCAGCTGCGGGGAAGAAAAGAATGTGAAACCGGAAAAAAAGGTAGAAACAGGAACGGCGGATGAATGGCGGGTTCGCAGCAAGTTGACGATTCCGACGCCTCTGGCTGACCTGCAGATAACCGAACGATTCCGGCGGATCAGTTGCGTGAAATGAGGGGCGGTTTACATAACAGTGGACGGAACGGCAATGAAAGGAGGGGCAATGAGAGCACTGCGAGGGAGGAACGGCATTGCATTGCCTAGAAACGGAAGAAAGACGTAAGAAAAGAAAGGGGAGCTTCCAGCCTGGGCACTTAGGCGAAAGGGAATGCATCCGATTTGGAATGTTGTGCGAAAGGAAAACGCATCCTTCCCGAGTAGATCAAGATCAGATACTGACCACATCGGGCTTGTGCTTCGGAGCGGATTCGGCGGAGGCGGAGGAGGAGAAGCGCCGAGCGCCGTACGAAGGCGACAGCATTGGGTTGACATTGACGGGCAGCACTGGGGATTTGACGCGGCCGCACGCATGGCGGTGACCGTTACCGATGTAACTAGTTACTGCGTGGCTGCTGCCTCCTCCGCTGCACGCCACGTGGCGCTGCAGGAGAGGCTCTGCTCTGCCCAGCAGGGCTCGTGCGACCTGTCGGCTCATTGTGTCGGTTCGGCGCGGTTCGTTCGTAACGAGTACTCTTATGATGATGTGGATCACGAGTACTATAGGTTCGTGCGGACGCGCCGCGGTGATGAGTGAGAGGAGGTGTGGTTCCGAGGTACGTTTAAAGACGTGGTTTACAATGTACACTATGGGGTGCTTCAAAACGCGGCGATCGCACGAGGGCGACCTCGATCAACTGAAAGCGAGGTTCGCGCGAGCAAGAAATGATGCCACGCCGCCGTGGAGGCTGGTAGGAGGGAGAAGTAAGAGAAGCAAGTCTGAGAACGTTGGGAGACGTAAGGTCGACAATAACAAGAGTTGGAGGAAAGGAACTAGTTAGTGGCGCGTGATGCAGAAAGGTGCTTCGAGTTTCTTCCACCCTTCGATTTCTCCAGCCGCCCTCGATTCTTCCCCCAGCCCTCGATTTCTCCAGTCCTTCCCGCCCCAGCCCGTGAAGTAGGCCCGTCAAGTTGAGGTGTATCCGAGGCCCCAGCGAAATGGCCCTATTTTCGCAGGACAGCTGTGCGAAAGTCTCGAAGCGCTCGCCATTTCGACGGTGCTGATTGGATACAGCGGAAGGCATGGCAGCAGGCGAAAAAATGACCGACATTCTGACGAATAGGAATGGAGATACCTCCAATATGTCCGCGAAGGCGGGGACACCTGGACCTGCGCTGGACGTACCCTCCTGAAAATCCCAAAACTGCTGCCAACAAAGCTTGTGCTTGTGTCTCGACTCGATTACAATAATATTCGGTTAACGAGTGATTGTAGTGTACTTTGAAAGAATGCTACATTGACAGAATGCTTAGACACCAGAGAATGTTGTAATTAACAAACACACAATGATGTAACCGTCGTTTCATTTTCCATGCACCTGGAACAATATACAACTATTTAGATTCACAAGGCTAGAACCATGTGCAATACCGTGCTCTTGATCGTGCTCGTGGTAGGCACATGTTGCTGCTGCGATAGTTGTTGGAATGGAACAGTAACATGGAGTCGCAGGGCTTGAAGTGGTCTGACGTGCCCAACGAAACTGAGGGCCACACTGAATCTAGGACTGCTACTGAGGTTGTTGGAACAGGAACGAGGGAAGTCCCAAACATGGAATAGTATGACTTAAAGTGCCCTGTGGCGCCCATCTGCCTTGCTCTCTGCACTGCCGCCCGCTTTGCCGCCAGCATTCTCTGCACCTCCTCCTGGTGCCGCTGCTGTGCTTGATGGGATTAATGGGCCTGCTGGGACCTGCTTCCTATTGCTGCTGTGCCACCCCCCACCGCCCCAATACCAACAGTTGCGCCCCTTACTGTTGCGGCCCCTCCACTGATGCTGCTGCCAGCAGCAGCCTCAGCAGCAGAAGCTACAGGTGGCAGTGGTGGCACAGGTGACTGGGTGGCGACGGAATGGGGTCTGAGAGGAGGTTGAGGGAGAGACGAGAAACGGAGGAGAGAGTGAGTGAGGGTGGGAAGATGTGGGGGACAAAAAAAGGAAGTCTGGGCATCGGATATTTGGAATTGGGCAAGAGCGGGTGTGGTCGATAGTTGACTGGGTTGAGGGCAGACGGGATCCTAAGAGAGGCCGAGTGCAGAATCACGGAAACACGGTGAGGAAGCAGAGACTCCCGGTGCAGCACCTGTGCTGTGGATCACTGGAACGGGGTGCTTCTAAAGGAGGAGTGCAAAAAAAATGAAGGACATAGATTCAGTCCAGCTGAGTGCTTCCAAGGGCGGAGGGCAAAGACAGAGAAGCAGTGTATCTCGGTGGCACCGGCTCTGCACTGCCGGCTGCTTGCATGGCTCCTGTTGCGGTCGGCTCAGAGGCAACAGAGGCTTGCTGCTGGGTTAGAGGCGAAGGCGGGTGGACGTTGGGGGAGGATGGACGCACTCCAGCAGCTGGTGATTATGATGGTGATTATGATGGTGATTATGATGGTGATTATGATGGTGATTATGATGGTGATTATGATGGTGATTAGAATGGTGATTAGAATGGTGTTGCACGTAGGGAGGGGTGAATACGAGGGAGGGAGGTTGAATGCCAGAGGGGAGGAGGGTCAATGCGAGGGAGGAGGGAGGGGAGGAGGGTGAGTGCGAGAGGGAGAGAGCGAATGAGCGAGAGAGGGAGGTTGAATCGAAAGGTGGAAGTCTCCACCGGGAACCAATCAAAGAATAACAATAACGAGGAAACGAGGCCGGGAAAGCGTGTGGCCCCGCACCTGAAGTGTGTGGTCAAGCATGTGAAACCGAAACTGCGATTGCAAGAAGCCATGCCTTCGCGGACACAAAAGTAAAAGGTCCCTTAGCTTAGAGGGAATGACGGACCGCCCTGGTTACGGGTTTCCAATTCCTTTCGGCAGTGGTTTTGGCACTGTCTTGCTTCGCGCTCGAGTCCGATACCTTCGGTCAGTTATTTACGCTATTGCCCCTTTTTGAGTCCAGAGACTAATATTTTGTTTATTTATTGGGATATCATAAATTGAATCGTCGCGTCAACTACGAGAAGCTCGGGACAAAAAAATATATGCCCCTCATGGAGGGCATGCCATTTGGGAGGCATCAACCCTAAACACCATGAGGCAAGGTGTTTAGGGTTGATGCCTCCCAAATGGCCAGCCATCCGAGAGGGGTTTATTTTTTCCACTGGCCACTAAACTAAAGCCAGGTAAACTTCAGAATTTTCCTGGTCACAGGAAATTCGAAACGTCGAAATCAGCTGCCCCAAGGAATCGGACGCGAGCGGAGAAGCGAGGCGGTGTCAAAGCCACTGCCCAAAGGAATTGGAAACTTGAAAACAGGGCGATCCGTCATTTCCTCCTTAGCTTAGCTTCAATCAACCCCTGGTTCTAAGACATCACCCTAAAGAAAATGCCTATGCGAAACCTAGATCCAACCGATGACTGTTATTCTTACATGCAGATGACGTGGCAGCGGAGGCAGGGAATGAAAATCCAGGTGGACCCACAGCAGGAGTAGCTGATAGCCCGCCTCCAGAACCTCCCACTGACGTGGCAGCAGGACCCGCAGCTGACGTGGCAGGCGCGTGGTGGTGGTCCCGAGGCTTGCCTGCGTGGTCATGATCCTTTTCGTCTGCATATGGTCGACTGGGAGAGGAGAGCAGTGGAACATAAGTCAGCATAATATTTTGTTCCTTTTCCGTATCCATACGTCTGTGCCACCATTCCCATTCTCTCAGCCTATCCCAAACAGAGAAGGCAGTAGCAGACTCTTTCCAAGACTCCCTAACAGCAGAGTCGTACCTTGGTGCTCTCACCTCCACCTCTTCTCTCTTCAGCTCACCCACTCTCCGCTCCTCCTCCTCCTCTCGTCCATCCTCCTTAGCACCACTCCCCGCACCTGCATTTGGTGCCACTAACAACACTCCGCCCGGTCCCACTGCTGCTGCTGTCGCTTTTGCGGGTGTCTCTCCGATCCTAGGAGTCATGACCCCTCCTGCTACTTTGCCTTTTGACCAAGGGAGAGACGGAGGAGGGCGAGAACGACCACCATACACCCGCCAGTCGGCGTTTGAGGCGCAGGGGTTGGCGTGGTCAGGGCAGGTAGAAGGGGAGTTCAGAAGGCAAGAGGAGGGGCAGGGAGAAGGAAAGGAGGAGCGAATGGAGGGGCAGGGAGAGGGGGTTGCAGTGGTGGAGGATGAAGAGAGGGAGACGTTCTCGTACTTAGACGATGAGAGGTTCAACGAGTGCACTCAGCTGCTCAAGAAAGTGAGTGGTTGCTTGCTTTTTCATCGCTTATTTCAGAAAATCAACAGAGCGGTTGCGCACATTTGTTTAGAACTCTAATATTCTCTTTAGAGACTTCTCTCAAGTTGCCTTTGATCCTATTTTTCTGGACATTGCAGTTACTTTGCTACCTGCTTTCAAGGTCTTGAACAGTGGCTTATCAAAACGATCTCACTCCTCACTTCACGGTTTTTTCTCCCACTACTCTCACCTGTCTGCCTTGCCATGCCTTTTGAGTCAGCTCAGTAGTCGTACTTACCTGCCTTGCTTGCTCATACCCGACTTACTCTGTTTGTCTGCCCTCGTTATCCACCCACCTGCCATCTCCCCTGCAGCATGCCCCTCGGAATCTCCTCCCATTCATGTTCAGACACGGCCGCTACCGCTCTGCTTGCTGGCTCATTTTCTTCCCCCCTCCTCCTCCCCACCCTTCCTCCTCCTCCTCCTCCCCTTCTCTCTCATCTACACCTGAGCACAACAGCACCACCCCCACCACCGCCACTCTCCCAAACCCCTTGGCCCTTATGCCACCCACATTTTCGCTCAGACCGGCTCGGCCCTCTCTGTCCTCGTTATTAGACTGGGATCCGTTAAAGTAAGAGTAGGCTACTGTAGAAGAGTTATGCGCGCTGTTTGACGTACGGAGCGGTTGAGGTGCTGGAAAGAGTGGTGGCAGAAGCGCTAGGAGGGAGTGCAGACAGTATGGGCGAGTGGCAATGTCAAGTGCCTGGCGGCAAACGACTCCATTGCAAGGAGGTGGGGTTGAGGGCACCGAGGTACGACTCTGCTGTGAGGGAGTCTTGGAAGGAATCTGCTACTGCCTTCTCTGTTTGGGATAGACTGAGTGGTGATGGGAGAGTGGGGATAGGAGGGAGGAAGATAGAAAAAGCATAAGACGACTTGTGAGGGCACAACGCCTCTGTTGTGAGAGAGTGGGTGAGCTGAAGAGTGAGGAGGTGGAGGTGAGAGCACCAGGGACTAGCGCTGGAACGAACGACTGAAGCACAGAGGGAATGACGGCGACGTCTGAGACAACGGCGGCAGGGTGTTGATTCTGACTGCTAGCCGGCTGTGGTAGCAGGAGGGAGTACACAGGGTCGAATAGCAAACGCGACGAACACAAGGTTCGACTGAATGACGCAAAATTGCCTCCCTCACCTCCCGTACGCGGCTCTCTCAGGCTCACCTTCGGTTCGCCGCCGCTCTCTCGCAACTTGCGGGCTAGTGTCCGCTTGAGGGTCGATTTCCGCGTATGTATCCAAGGTGATTCCCATCCTCACGATAAGCTGATCCGATTTGGGACAACGGGCGTTGAAACTAGCCGCTAATCACGTACCCGCGATGCGCTGACCGGCGCCGCCTGACGTCGGAAGCTGGCCGCGCGTCGGCCATGGAAACTCGGAAAAAAAGGTAACCATTGAAGAGGATTCAAAGATACCTAACGCTGTAGCCGTGAGTATTTACTACGGACTGGAATGGATTCTGGTTGCTGGGATCACATTATCATCACAAGATCATCCATGATGGAAACATCTGGGAAGGCGATTTCAGAATGCTATTGATGAAAGGGATGTAGAGAATTGAGATAAAGACAAAAGAGTATGATTGCACACTAGAATAAGACAAGAGTGAACAGTGGAACTGTAGCATATGTAGATGAGCTTGATGGAAGAGAAGATGATGCTTAGAACTTGTGACTATAAAGAGAAACTTGTGTAAGATGAAATGCTTGATGAGATAAGAACTTAGAGGAGAAGAAGAGTGTGAGCTCGTTGAAAGAAATAAGAGCGGTGATAAACACTTACTTGAGTGAATCTTACTAGGGATAGTTGTAGAAGTAACTTGAAAGAAGAACTTGAACTTGTATGGTTTACTTGGGAGTGACTTCAAGCCTTGGGTTGGATGATGATCCTCCCTTGAGCTTGTAGCTTGTAGCTTCCTTATACTCTTAAGGAGTATGAGGTAGACTACTCTTCACTTGATAACTACATTGTAGACTATGTGAGAAAGAGCCTTATGAGCATAAACTTATATTAAAGAGAGTATAGTACAAGCCTTATAAATCCATGAAGGATACATAGGCATGCATAGAGAGAGTAATCATCAATGGTAGCCTTGGAAGAGAGTAGCATGAGAGTATCAACTTTGGAGACATAGAAACTTGGTTGCTAGTGAGGAGCCTTTGTAGTTGAAGAGGAGCTTGAAGGAGAAGCTTGGAATGAGCTTGGAGAGGAGCTTGATGAAGAAGCTTGAGAGGCATTGTTGTCATTGAAGAACCTTCTTGAGAAATTGTAGAGATGCTTGTTGGAGTTGAATAGTAGTAGAGCATGAGGTGGTGGTTGAGCACTTGTTGAGTTGGAGTTGTAGGCCTTGCAGTGTTGGAAGAGAACTTGGGTGACTTGTGAAGGAATGAATAGAGAGGATAGGAAAACTTTGGTGTCTTGGAAGAGGAGGTGATGTGGTAATCATGAATCCTCAAAAGATGAGTTGGCGACTTTGGTGACTTGGGAAAGGAAGGAAGGGAGGAATGAATTAGAGGCATGTGGAGGTTGATGACTAGGAATTGGAAGCATGTGCTTGAAGGCACATGGAGGGAGGAATATTGGAGGAGGTAGATGACTTGGATAATATTTGGTGAGTAAGGAAAGAAAGCACATGGAAAATCATGAGGAGGCATGTGCCTTGTGGTGGGACTTGGAGGTGAATAGAAAAAGTTGTTGAAGTCTTAGTTGAGTTGGATTAGGAAAGGCTATGGTGGTTGGGAGAAATTAAAGAGGTGGTTGATAGGCTTGAGTTGGAGTGGATGAGTTGGAAAAGGAAGTTTGTAACTTGGGTGGTTGGAATGGGCTTTGGAGGAGTTGAGTGGTTTGGATGGGTTCTTAGGAAAATGTGTCGAGGGTGTTTTGAGGGGAAGGGGTTGGAGTGGTACAGTAGCGTGGCACGTGAAGAGCGTGCCATTCACAACACTCCCCCTCACTGCAAGCCCGTACCCTCAAATCCGACTACTGGGACTAACCCGGCTTGAACTCGGTTGTTGATGAAGATGTCGCGTGCAACGACCTTTGTGAGGAAATCCGCCGCTTGCTCACTCGTGCGGCAAAACAGGGGCTCAATGATTTTCGGCTCCACAAGCTCTCGAACGTAGTGATACTGCGTCGCGATGTGCTTGGTCCTCCCATGGAAGACGGGGTTCTTGGTGAGAGCGATCGTCGATGTGTTGTCGATGAAGATTGGAGTGGGGCTCTCTTGTGGGAGGTCAAGCTCCTTCAATAGACCTCTTATCCACACTGCTTCTCGGGCTCCTTGGGTCGCAGCCATGTACTCTGCCTCCGTGGTTGATAAAGCCACACAACTCTGCTTCTTTGAATGCCAAGAGATGGCTGCCCCTCCAAGCATGAAGATGTATCCTCCAGTGGACCTGCGGGTAGGGATATCCCCAGCCCAATTTGCATCCGTGAAGCCATACAGCATGCTTGCACCCTCAAACCCTTGAAAGAGGAGACCAAAGGAAGAGGATGATTTGAGATAGCGCAAGGCACGAAGTGCCCCACGCTGATGCATGCGAGTGGGTGATGTCATGCATTGAGAGAGCATGGCAACAGTATGGGCGAGATCGGGACGGGTGCAAATGGAGGCGTACATAAGGCTGTCCACTTGGCTCTGGTAGAGTGAGAGCTCAAGGGGTGTGATGTTGGATATGGACTGTGGTGCATAGGTGTCATGACCAAAGTCCTCAGGAGGCTCGAGGCTCTCGACCTCACCCTCAAACTCAGTGACCTCTGACTCGACTGTGGAGGGGTCAATGCTTTGCTCGTGCGAGCTCAGCGTGAAGTCTGAGGGGAGTGGGGTCTCAACTGGGTTGCAGTCAAGGAGACCAAACCTTGAAAGGACCTTCTCAGTGTACCTCTGCTGTGAGATGAAGAGTGACTTGGTGGTGCGGTCCCTCACGATGTTCATACCAAGGTAGTGTGAGGGCTCACCCATGTCCGTCATGATAAATTCTTGGGTGAGCATACCTTTAATGCGTGTGAGGAGACTCAAGGATGCTGACAAAAGGAGGATGTCGTCCACATAGACTAGGAGCCACAAGGACTCCCCCTCACTTGTGCGTAGGATGTACAGTGCGGCATCAAACCGTGACTTGGTGAAACCTTGGGTGAGGAGTGATACCTCAAGGGTGTGGAACCAGACTCGTGGTGCTTGCTTTAGTCCATAGAGGGACTTCAGCAGCTTGCAGACCTTGGTGGTACCATCAGAGTAACCCTCAGGCTGTACCATGTAGATCTCTTCGTCGAGCTTACCGTAAAGAAAGGCATTCTTCACATCCATTTGATGAATGTGGAGATCCTTTACCGTGGCCATTACCAGGAGTCACCTGACAGTGGTGTACTTGGCTACAGCAGAGAAGGTCTCTGTGTAGTCCGTGCCTGGAATCTGTGAGAAACCTTTGGCTACCAGGCGTGCCTTGAATCGGTCAAGCGTACCATCTCCCTTCACTTTCACTCGGTATGTCCACTTAACCTTCAGTGCTCTCTTACCGGGAGGGAGTGGTGCAAGGACCCATGTACCTTGTGCAAGGAGGCTGTTAATCTCTTCTCTCTCTGCCTTTACCCACTCTGCCCTCTCTGCGCTTGCCAGTGCTTGCTTGCGAGTGGATGGCTCAGGTGGGAGGCAACTGATGGCGTGACACATGGCGACTACCTTACAGTCCATGCAATGAGGGTTGGTGCACTTGGCTGTGACTGGGAAGCTTGCACCGACTGCGAGGTTCATGCGCTGCACTGGCTTGCGTGCTCGCCTGGGGCGCTGTGTATGCTCGGTGATACCTTCGTGACTCGTGTTACCATCAGGGATGGGTGGAGGTGCTGAAGGCGTGGTTGTCTCAGGAACATCATTTGGTGGTTGAACGAGTTGAGGCGGCTTGTCTGCTGCGTCAGGGATGATGGTTGAAGTGTTGACTGGAGGTGAAGAAGTAGATGGTACGGTTGAAGACAACTTCTCTGCGGTTGGGTGCTGCTCAGGTGTTGACTCTCGCGATAAGGGCTGCTCCATCGAGGGTTGGAGTGAAGACGGCTCGTCGGTGAAGAGTGGTGGTGATGTGTGGTTTGGCTCAGGTTGACTCTGCTGCTGCTCATGAGGAGATGTGTTGTTCTCAGGTACAGGTGGAGATGCTGTGGTATCTCCAGCAGGTGCACTTGGAGAGGGCTCCACTGCGGGTGTTGTGGTGAGTCCTGGTGGAGTGGGGAGAGGGTCTTCGAGAGAGGGAGAAGGAGGTAGATAGTTTAACTTCCATCGAGCGAGGGACATGTCTTCATGGAAGATCACGTCCCTGCTCACAATCTCCTTGGTAAGGAGAGGGTCCCAAAGAATCCAGCCCTTGCTCTCCTTACTCAAGCCAATGTGCACGGCCCAACGTGTCTTGCTCTCAAACTTTCCTCTCTTCTCATCGGGAATGCGATATTGCGCCATGCA